CACCGTGCCGCACTAGAACTACTAGAACTAGTACTAGAAATTAACATAATTTTAAGCGTAATATGTACAAGCTCTGAATAATTTCCACCTGAAAAGGCCAGGCTTTGCTGGTTTATAATCTAAATGGTTCGTGGCAACAAACAATCTATGACTAAAATGCCTGGGCTTCAGTCCAGGACAATGAACGTGTTATCGCCAATTTTTGTTACCTGTATGTAGCTTCTCTCTACAGTAACACTACTGCGCATTATTACAAACTGTTCTACTAAAACTACTAAACTAATCTATCAGCTAGCGTTATAGTATTATGTATCATACTATTAACTTTGGCGACATAGTGGACATGATTACTACAAGAACTATTACTTGGCAGTAATATATGTCGAGTTAGCATTGTACTTACCAATCTTGGCCCCTCATTAACGTCTTTTATTGTGGGTGTATGTTTCAAGATCAGCTTTTTAGTAAGTGCAGTTTCATGGTAATCGTAGTTATGGAAGCAGTCTTTAGCAAAGTGTCGCTCGCAGACGAACCGATTCTTTGCCGATTTCGGAGGCAGAAACCCGTGAATAAAGTCGAGCCACTTTTGCCGCATTGCTTCATCTTTGGGCAAGCCCTCTTTGTCGTCATGTAGTTACATCTGAAAACACATTATCTCCAAGTTGACATGATGCTGACACTTTTAGCCAACGACAGCAGCAGTAAATACAACAGCTAGACGTGAAGCGAAGTACAGACTGCGGTACACGCAGCACTCGTAGAGAAGCTGCAAGCACTGATCTAGGCACGTTTGTGGGCTTGTCTGTTCTAATTCTCCATCTGCCAATCATTGCTGAGCTCCTCCTGGAGGCGGGCTTATGCGCGTCATATTCGTCATCAATGTGTAAATCGTCAGCGTAATATGGGCCCTTTAAACACGTAGTGATGCGGCTCTCAGTGAAAATACATGGTCAACACGTTTTGGTTTGCTCCACAGACACACAGTAATTGTGTCTAACCATTGGGAGGAGGAGCAGGTTTGACAGTGATTCTAGACATTCAAAAAGTCTCGCCTCTTACCAGACCAGCCCAAAGAGACCAGAGGACAAACACATACATGTGAGTTTTGTTGCTCTACATCAGTTATCTGGCCCGTACTCTCCTCTACACTCCTCCATAGACTACACAGAGAAAGCATCAGCAGCCGAGTCCCTGCGCGCTCTGGCCGGTGTGTACACAGGCATGTGACGCGAGCCTCTGCCGAGGAGAGGCTCATGTCACTCTGGTACGCGTGTGGTGTGTATGAGCCGTAAGCCGGATTCACGTGATGCAGCGGTGAATCCGGGGCCCGCAGAGCCGTTCAATCCAGCCTGCGACTGTATTCCGAAATTGTGAGGATCAAAAAGAAATTACTGGTCCACACTATCAAAAACCTCTTAAGCTCCTATATCTGTTTTGGCTCGTGCACAAAAGTTCGGCATACCCAAATGTCTTTGCTTATTTAAAAACACATCTTACATAACCTGGCAAGAGCCAGATTGATTATTGTGTAGAACTCTAATGCGTTCTCCACAATATCAATCTAGGACTTCTGCAGGAGAATCCTTTCAGGGAAAGGAGGGATAAGCAGCAGAATTCTTCAAGCTGATTGGGCGAAGTGACGCTGTGTGCCCGCCTACTAAAAATGTGCAAAGATCTTTGCCATCCAGAAATGCACAAAGCGCCTCTCGCTGTTCATCTTTCAAAAAAGAAATAGGAGATTCTGCTAAAACTGACTTGATAGCCTCAGCTACTGTACGCGTCCGTCCTCCTGCGTAGTCATGTTTGTTTTGCTTCGGCCCGGCACTTCTTGCTTTCGTCAAACCCGGATATCCCGCCCTAAACCCCCAGACTGGCGCATGATTGGCTTGAACACCTAGATGTTCTACTCGAAAAGAGTTGGCGGGAGCGGGGCAAGATGTATTCAAGTGTTTGTGAACTCACAAATACCGCAAGAATTCAGCTTGCAGGCAAGGTTACATCTCACATGCTTATGTGATGCATCATTTTGAAGCAAGGCCCTTCTAGTTTATGTAAATATACACTAAAATAATGTATGTCATTTCTATTTCACTCTGCATCCAAGTTTGGGGAAAAAAACATTTTTTTTAGCCTCGCCTAAAAAATTCAATGTATAAATGCCCTAAAAAAATCCTACTTCATTGGAAGAAGAACATTTTCAAAGCCAATTTGTTCATTGTGTTGTTGACAACAACTGTGTAAAGTTTCAGACTTTTAAGTCTTATAGTTTTTATGCAGTTTCTCTTTTTTATCAAGTAGTGCCATTCGGAACCAATTTGGCAAAATGTGTGCCAAATTGTGTTAAACTGCTTTACTCACATTTCACCATCATAAAAAGCATATTTTTTAGTTTTTGTACTTATAAGTTACAAATCTGTGTGATTTTCTTTTACATTTTTTCAAAATTAATTTTTAGTAGTGTAAATGCATATAAAATATGCGCAGCAATGTAACTGCGTCTTTGAGCATGCTTTTACTGTGAAAATTAAAAGGGTTCCTATAAGTCCAACCCATCAATTGAAAGCTCTTTTTATTGGCTACTTAGACACGTCAATCATTCAGTGCTAGCCGTGTAACCCACAACAAGGCCAAACGGACCCTGTGCAAATGGATGCAGTTCGTCTTATTCACCAGGGTACTGCGGACTGAAAACTGCTCTTATCTCTTCATAGAACCTCTCATTTTGAAGCTAAGGAGTTAAGGAAAACGTGGGATATGCTGTTTTTGGGGGTAAACAAAGCTCAAACATGGTGAAATGTAAAAGCAGTCTGAACCAACCTCTTTCGGAGCGTTTTTTTTTGCTACAGAAAAATGCACATTTTTGGATTATTTCTGAAGAACGGATTATACTTTGGGAAATACAAGTGGATATTCTTTTTCAATGAAGAGTTACGGAGAGAAAGACTAAGCAAGGATGGGGAAAAGTCTTATTTGTTGGAGCAGCAGAAGACAAAAAGGTAAAAAAACTTATACAAACGTGATTAATTTTTGTGCCCATTGTGCCCATATCATGAGTTATCTTTTAATGCAAAGTCTTATATTTGTTTACACTTACATATAAATATTACTGGGAAAATAAGCTTTAAATGATATATAAGCTTGTGGCTTACAAAAACAATGAATCCAGCCTGATGTGATACTCACCTAGGGTTGACAACTTCCCCTTAAATACTGAATTGTACCCGGTATTACAAAAAACGGATGGTGCGTCCCCGTATTGAAGGATGCGGGGCGGCTTTGATCCAATTTCAGAGCCGCTTTAAAATGCATCAATCACTCACACACACGCGCATATCACACGCACACACATAATCACAGGTAAAGCGTCTACCTTTTCGGCTAATCATTGTCTAAAGGGGCGGGGCTTGATCGACACCCCTGGTTTTAATGTTGACAATGGCAGCGTGGGGGCATGCCCCAGCAATCAAACACAGCAAAGTTTGGTAAAGTTAGCCTCATATTCCCAGATTTGGACTTCCGCGGTCAATAGCACACCGAAAAGCTACTTTGTTAAACAAAAAGTAATAGTGCCAAAATTATCACATTTACATTGTTTGTTTTTCAAATCCAATGCGCCGTTTAATGCAGAAAAATCCATTCTTGCACAGCGCCGAAAATAACTCGTAGGGAGCGTCAACAAATGTCAAAGAACCCGCTATTGTAAACGAACAATATGCTTTTACGAAAAGCCATGTACACGACTAAACTCTCAGACCTAAAATAATGACTATGTCTACCTGCTACAGACTTGATTTCAACATTTGTGAGTCTTTTATATTTTAAATGAATAGAAACATGTTTTTCTTTGCTTTTTACAGTAAAGTCCCTTTACTGTAACATACAAGTTACAGCATATCCTTTTTTTTTATATTTTAAACTAAAATTTTGACTAAAATGGATTAAGCCCTTAACCAGCCAAATAGATCACCTGTGTATTTAATTTCAATTTTGACTAATGATGATTTTTTTATATTTAATCAATAAATCAAGTTTTCTAAAAACTGATAGTGAAATTCCATGATTCCTGTGTAGATTGAAATAAGGAATAAAAAGAGCTCAAAACCGATCCACCCAAAAGTGGGGCCCTTTTTTCCCTAATCCTCATTGCAAAACCTATTCAAACAACTATATGATGGAGGACAGTACACTCCAACCATGTGTTATAGCTTGTTAGCGTGTTAGCTGGTGTTACTTATGTCCATAAAAATATCCATTTGGTCAAACACCTCCAGACTTTTCGTTCTGCCTCTGCTTTTGCTTTTGTGATCGATTCATTTCATGGTTGCTAATTTTATGATGAATGGCAGCTCCAGACCCCGCCGAGGCGTTTTTGATGCATGGCGAAAGCCCGAGACCCTCATGGAAGCAGCCAAAGAGCCGCATGAGGCTCCAACTACCGCGGGTTGGCAACTCCCTGTCTATAATATTAATAGGCTAAATCCCCTTTGAAATCATATTGTTTTTATTTTTTAGTGCAACATAAATGTATACCTAAATCACTTTAATTCACGACATCTAATTGCATCATGAAGCAGGTGAATATTGACCCAAAATCATCGTTGGTTGTAAGTTGAGGAAACTTAAAATAGATCGAAGTAGGTGTATTACCATGTGGATGTTGTCAACAGAAACTCACTCACACGCTCCAAGGGGCCGCTCAGGGAAGTTTTTATGTTTGTGCTCAGATCCATGAAAAAATCAGGGCAAACATTGGACCACAAATAAAAGTTATCCCCCGAGTCATGGCGCATGTGAAGCCCCTATAAAAATGCATCAATTGACACAAGCATGAGGTGAGCTGCCAATAAAGTGAGGGACCACAAATCCTATTTTAAAGTTTAAAGAAATTCATCTGAATCAAGATGTCCACAATGTGATTGGTTTTTCCTGCTTGTCTACCTTTCGTAGACTATCATATTCGGAGAGTCATCCTCCATGTTCCATTGTACTCAGAGGACCTGATGGAAGAGCAGGGGAACGGGTGGGGGTCCCGCTTGCTGTGGAGCCCTTCAGATCTATCTTCGGACTCTGGGAGCCACTGTGCGGGACTGGTCCCTGGTCTTCATCCCGTCCTCAGAGTTCTGACACAGATTCCTCCTTCCTCTCCAAAAGCCTCTGTTTGTTGCGGCTGCTGCAGCTGGTCGCCTCAGCCCATCTTGGATCTGTCTTTGGACCGATTGAACTGGTATAAATTCCAGGTGCCCTCCCACTTCAGGTACAACCTGCATGAGGAGAGAAGGAAAAAAGATGAATAGGGTAGTGACTCTTCATCCAGAAGACACGCAACCCTGGGACAGATGCAGTTACTATCTCCTTGCTCAACAGTTCACACAGAACGGGCGGAACGTAACATATTGTCTATTAGACTAAAAGCTTCATACTCGTATATTTTCTGTCATGGACATGTTCCGCTTTTAACTATCATGATTATAATATAGAACTAGTACTTTTAAAAATAGTATGTTTTTTACTGCTTAAAAGCTTGAATTCTTTCTTTGCATTAGGAGATCGCTCAGCCCTTCCACAGATGCAAAAACAACACTTAGGTCAAAGATACAGGACGAAAGCGGACCGTCAACCATACTCTGACACACGTAGACGGAGTGTTTTGTTGGTATGAAATTTATGATTTCTTTTACAAATATGAAGGCATAACTGTGTTTGTATTTTCCTGAACAAAAATACTTAAAGTTACCGTTTAGAGTCAGACCACAACTGGACCAAAAGTGAAGTCTTAGTTATCAGCCTTAACCTAGAGCCAATTGGTGTGTTGTAGATTTATTTAACTGTATTCATTTAGTGTTGGTTCAAAAGTGATGGAACCGATGCTAACCCTCTACTAAGGAAGCCCAATAGGGAAGTGCTCATGAATTATTTTGAAAAGTAAATCATCGTCACTCCAACAATCATTATTTATAATAGGGCATTTCCATAGACCTCAAGGTCACCCGAAGAGGCTTTGCTATGTTTTGGAGTTCAGATCTTTTTCAAAGTCCTCACCAAACCCACCCAATCAGTCAATCATTATATTCAGACCTATTGTATCAGTTTTAAGTTGGTAGAGGAAACTGGAGCCAAAGAAGAAACTTAATGCAGACAAGGAGAAACATGCAAACTCCACACAGAAAGGCCTGGAGGTGGATAGCGACCCAGGACCTTCTTGCTGTGAAGCCCAAGCGCCAAGCCAACCCTGCCTCACAGACAACTCTGTTTTAAAGTCTAAGCGGCAGTCAGTGGACAATTGTGGTAAACACAGAGAAGAGCAGCGCCTCCGTTTTGAACAGCACCGAGTTAAATACTCCTCTAAGAAGCTCAACCACAGTGACCATCAATCAGCAGAAAAACGAGGCCACCCGAGAAACAACACAAAATCCATTTCATTAATTCATCAATGCATATTATTCATTCACAACAAATCTTTAATAGCTACACGTTGTGCTGGTCAATATTCTGTTAGAAACGATATATAAAGCATGACTTAAAGTGACATATTTGCCTCAAAATAGATTGTATTCCAAAGAAAATGTACAGACAAATGTTGAGCCAACCAAATACTTGTCAATTTATTAGTTTATTGAATTATCAAATTAATGAAGGCAACGTCCACCATGGGCACCAAAAGGTCCTCCCGGTTCTAGCACAGTGTTCTAGATCCCATGATTCTTTGCGGAAAATACACATGTGTGGCCCTCAGGCACGTGCACATCAGCCCTGTGAACAGAGCAGAGTTAGAGCGGGAGACAATCGAGCAAAGTTTTGGTGCTCTGAAGTGTGGATTTATAGACACCAAAGGATTTAACAAGAAAAAAACAATTCAGCTGTTTTAGTTTTTCATCAGTTACTTTTGGGAACATTTCTGGGTAGCCCTACTTGAATTTAGTCTTGTTTAGTCTGCAGTACCACAAGAATCGCCCGATGCACATGGATCCTTCAGCTAAGAAGCAATTAATAGACCCATATCCAGATGTTAAATAATAGATCCATAACCAACTATGGTACTGAATACTAAATACAACGAGCAGTCATCTCAGAGGACTTAACAAAAAAAAAAAATTGAAAATCACACGACACACAGATGAGAAGAAATCAACAGTTAAGACACATAGAATACACATATGATTGGTCCATAGGTGAGACCAACGCAAAAAGGCGTCAGAAGGAGATAAATATTGCGAGTCTTTTCCTCGGACGCTCGTGTAGCATCCCATCAAGACCTCAAAGTGTCATGGGACATTAGCGGCCTGAGCGAGCAGCACCGAACTTACCTCGTAAACAGTCAAAACAGGAACTACACCAGGACTAAAAGCAGGGTTGACAATGGGGTACATAGTGCTTGTGAACATAGCTTGGAATTATTGCTAGGCGTCAGCGTGTGAAAGCACCATTTAATAAACTTTGTAATAGAGTCAGAAGAGACAGTTGAAAAGAGAATTGTTCTTTTTTAATCAGTACATCCTAATGGGACTATATTGTTTAAACATGAATGTCAGAGACTTAAAAAAAGGGACTGTTGTCCTATGTTACCTAACATATTCAATAGATTTTGTATGAAAAACCATTTGGTGAGTCATAAGATTGAGAGAGTGTGCATTAACTGAACAAAAAGTATCTTATTAGAAATATTTCCCCACCCTGTTATAAGCTACTAATATATTAATTTTTTCCTGTGTTTATTTGATGTTTTTAACGATTAAAGAAAAATATTGTCGTTTGAATACATGCAGGATAGATTGATAGCTTTTTTATGAGCTTTGTTATTATTGAAATGAAACATTGTGAAGACTATAAAAAGTAAATTAATAAAAACGGGACTTTTTTTTTTTGTTAATTTATCTAGAAAAGAGAGAACTAAGAAAACCAAAAGAAAAGATTTCATTACTTCATTTGAATATGTTCGACATGTGCAGAAATAAAAATGCTTAACCTCTTAAATGACTCCACATCGTTTTGCTCCGTGCACAAAAGTTTGGCATTCCCAAAATGTCTTTGCTTATTTAAAAACACATCTTAACATGCTTGTGTATCTTCATTTTAAAGGTAGGGCCCTTCAAGTATATGTAAATATACACTAAATAATGTACGTCATTCCTATACTCACTCTGCATCCTTTGAATTTGGGAAAAAACCTGTTTTTTTTTTTTAGCCTCCGCCTAAAAATTAAATGTATAAATGCCCTAATAAGCCTACTTCATTGGAAGAAGAATATTTTCAACGCCAATTTGTTCATGTGTTTTATTGAACAACAACTGTAAAGGGTTTTTATTACAGACTTCTAAGTGTTATATTTATAATGCATGTTCTCTTTTTTATATTTCAAGTAGTGCCATTCCGGAAACTATTTGGCAAAATGTTTGCCAAATTGTCCAAACTGCTTACTAACATTTCAATCACCATCAATAAAAAGCATATATTTTATTTTTGGTACTTATAAGTTACAAATCTGTGTGATTTTCTTTTACATTTTTTCAAAATATGTTTTTCGTAGTGTACATACTACAGCGTCTTTATAACGCACGCTTTTATACTGTGAAAAGGAAAAGACTTCATACAAGTCCCACCCAGCAAAAAAAAAGCTCTTTTTATTGGCTACAAGCGCTAGCCTGTAAACAACACCAAGGCAAAAACTGACCCACTGCCAAATTAATGCGTTTGGTCTTTTCATCAATGGTCCTGAGCGGACTGAAACTGCTATTCTTTTCCATGGAACTCACTTTTTGAAGCTAAGGACTCAAGGAAACACGTGGATAAGATGTTGTGGTAAACAAAGCTCAAACTTGGTGAAATGAGAAGAGAAGCCGAACATTTTTTTCGAGCGTTTTTTTTTTTTTTTTTTAACAAAAAAACACATTTTTGGATTATTTCTGAAGATTGGATTAAACTTTGGGAAATTACAAGTGGATATTCATTTACAATGAAAGACTTACGGAGAGAAAAACTAAGCAAGGATGGGGATAAGTAAATTTGTAGGAGCAGCAAGAAGAAGAGGGCAAGAAAATTATACAAACACACATAGATTTTGTGCCATATATGCTTTGGTATCTTTTTCATGCAAGTCGATATCGTTTACCTTACATATAAATATAGCTGAGAAAATAAGCTTTAAAATGATATATGAGCTTTGCTTATGAGTTCAAAATACAATCTGCTATTGCCCAGCAGAAGAATTTTTTAAGGCCCTATATTACGCTTTCTCATGTTTTCATAGTCAATCCTAAGCACATGGTGTGAAAATAATGTTGTGATCTCCATACAACACTCAAAAAAACTTGAGAGATTTATAGCCATCTCATGTGTAAGGTGACGTCACTCGACTCAAGAACAGGCTGATTCAGAGAGAAGTCTGATCCACTTGAGACTCCCCGCCTCCACCCTGCCCGCAGTTGTTTAGAAGATAAATAAAGAATCTCTTATCTCAACGGAGAGAAATTTACATGCACATTTGGCAAGGATTAGAAACACTCTGATTGTGCAAAAAAGAGTAGATGTGCAAACATTTTTAAATACAGATATATTATGTACATAAAAAAGTGGCAGTTTAAAAGTGGCAATATCAGAATAGTGTCAGATAGTGCAGTTTTTTCAGTCTTAATACAGTGGGACTTAAAGTGACATGTTGTACAGTCCTGACAGCGGTGGGGATAAAGGCCCTGCGTAGCGCTCCGTCCACACTGGGGTGCCTCAGTCCTTTCCCTGAAGGAACTCCTCAGCTCCTCTTTATCCTGTGCAGTGGTGGGAGGTTGGTTCATCGATGGAGGAGGCTTAGACTACACCGTCCTGTCCCTCACCTCCTCCACAGATCTCCAGGGGGCAGCCCAGAGGGAGCTGGCCCCTCCAGATCAACATTTGTTCAGCTGCTAGCTGTCCCCGCACTGTGTGCCCGGGGGCCCAGCACACCGGCATCCTAGTAAATGGCTGATGCAACCACATCAGTCATAAAAAGTCCCTGAGCAGAGGCCTGCACACCATCCGAAAGGACCCTCAGCCTCCTCTGAAGAAGAAGGCGACTTTGGACCCTTCTTGTGCAGGGCGTTTGTAATATGGTCACCATCCAGTTTATTAGTTAATGTGAACACACAAAGCACTTGAAGCTGTCACCAGCTCAATGTCCTCCCCCTGGAGGTTCACAGCGTTGGAGCGGTTTTTCTCCTGAATTCATACCATCTCCTTTGGTCTTACTGGTGTTCAAGCACGAATGGTTGCGCTTCTCCACACCAGTCGACAAAGTCCTTATAACCAGCCGATATTCCAGATTGTT